GCTCTCAAAGCCAGGATCCTGACAGCCGAGGCCAACAGGAGCTCTGTGAGATCCGGGCTCTGCGCTCCTCCCCACCTGAGTCACACACCTAGGGAGCCCCCCATTCTGCATGGGGTGAAGTCCAGGGAAGATGGGGCGGAGGGGGCCTGTGGGACAGCCCTCCCCACAGAGGGAGCAGAAGGCTGCTATACCCACCCCCGGCCCTGCACCGCCCGGCCAGGGAGAGGACCGGGCTCAGGAATGCAGGCAGGCCCGGCAGCGTGGGCAGGGCAGCATCAGCCTCTCCGGGCCCAGGGCTGGATGGGGCTGAGACCCAGGGCTTGCGGGGAAGCCAGGGCTGGTCCCTCCAGTACCTCTACTGGGACCCCCACGCCCATAGACGTGCTGGCTGTGATGTGGGTCAGCCCCTCGGTGGCACCGTCTGTCTCCACCCGCGCCGCCTCCACAGAGGCTGGCAGCTAGGCACCCACGAGACCAACGTCATGGTCTCCCCCCAGCCGTCCAACGGAACTGCGTGCGCGTCCTGGCCTCGGTACCCTGGGCAAAGCCTGACATGTCCAAACTGTCTGTGCACCACTGAGGGTGGAACGGGAGGGTGACCCAGGTGGTAACACAAGGTAAGATGGTATGACAGACACTTTACTTCAGCTTTTCAAGTTTTCTCTATAGACGAATTAATTTTTTTGTGGGTTTTTTTGTTTGTTTGTTTGGTTGGTTGGTTTTTTTGCAGAACCGGGGATTGAACTCAGGTCCTTGCGCTTGCCAGGGAAGCGCTTATTCCACTGAGCCATCTCCCCGGCCCTGAATTATTATTATTTTTTTTAATTTATTTATTTATTTATTTATTTGTGTGTGTGTGTGTGTGTGGTCAGCTCAGCCCACCAGGGGGCGGGCTGGCTGGCATGTGGTGCTGGGGGATTGAACCGCGGTCCCTGTGCTTTGCTAAGCTTGTTCTAAGTAGGTGCTTTAGACCACTGAGCCATCTCGCCAGCCCCATCTGAATTATATTTTAATGAGAAAAAAAAAATTTTTTTTCCAAAACCAAGTTGCACCACGGGGCTAGCTGAGGCCAAGCGCCTGCCTCAGGCTACAGAACACAAGTCAAACATCTCATTCCGGTGAAATCTCGATTATGAAAAGCAAGGCAGCTCTGAGATCAGCTTTCGGAATGTGGGCGCTCTGGAGAAGCAGTCTTTCCCGTGGAGTTTCACATCACGGCTCCTGGCTGTCAGGGGCTAAGCTCACAAATCGCCCTGCCCCACTCACTCCCTACTCTACACAGAACCCAATGAGCTTTCACTGCTGACTCCCCAGTGGCTAAAACGGTAGCTGGCACACAGCAGGTGATCAATACTCATTTGCTGAGTGACTTAATGAAGCCAGATGGGGGCAAAGAGAAGGCTCTTTGGGCCCATCAGCCCCCAGAACCCAACAGGCAGCCTTCCCCTGAGCCCGCCAGCCCAGAGGGCCCTGGGTAGCTGTGTATCACAAGGACAGCTATCAAAACATCAAACACCAGGCGCGACCTCTGAAGATGCTACAGGTTGGTCTGATTTGGGGCTTGGAAGCTGCAGTTTTTAGACTGGACCCGAAGGCCTGGCCAGGGAGTCCCAAGGAACAAACTGACCCCCTCTTGGCACAGGGAGCCTCTGGAGCGAAGGAGGGGCCTGCAGCGCACACCCTTCCTGGCCACCACTGCACCTCTGGGCTCCAGGCCCTGGGGACCTGTGTGTTCCCACACGCACTCCCACATTCACCCTGTGCCCCTGATCTGTGGTGCTCCCTCCTAGGAAGCAGGTCAGGCTGCAAGCGGACAGGGAGCCCCCACCGAGAAGGCCAGCACCCCTGGCCATGGGCCTGTGAGCCTCAACCTGGACCAGGACCACAGGCTATGAGAGTCCCAGGGTGGCCGCAGGCCAGCCGCTCAGGGTACAGCCTCCCTGAAGCGCCTGGAGCTCACCTTCAAGACCAAGCTTACCCACACCCAGCGGCCCTAGGCTGCCCCTGTGGGCACTCAAGAGGCTCCAGCAGTAGCTATAACATAAAAGTGTTTTTACATAAGAAAAATAAAACGAATGAAATCTGTCAAAAGAAAAAGGAGCCACCAGGGCCAGGGAGATGGCTCAGTGGAATAAGCACTTCCCTGGCAAGTGCAAGGGCCTGAGTTCGATCCCCTGCTCCGCAAAAAAAAAAAAAAGAAAGAAAAGAAAAGAAAAAAGAGCCACCTTCACAGCCGGGCATGCTGACGTACCCCTGTAATCCCAGTATGTAGGAGGCTGAGGCAAGAAGACCCAGGAGGATCACCATAAATTCAAGGCTAACCTGGGCTGCATGGAGAATCCAAGGCCACTCTGCGCTACACACACAGCGAAACCCAGCACCAAGCAATCTTGAGGGCTAGGCTGGCTATGAGATCATGAAAGGCAGCCCCACGCTCCTCTAGCCGGGTCTCCAGCAGCACTGGGCCCTCCCACTCCTGCTGGCCCCAATTTGCTTTTCCAGCCTCAGCTCTGCCACCACCACCTGGGCAGGGGGGCAAGGCAGGCCCTGACCACACTTTCCTGCCAGGAACAGGCGAGGGCCTGCTCAGGATTCACTCTTGGCCCCTCCCGAGCTCCAACTGGGGTTAATGTACAATCTCCGCTTGGCTCTAATTAGCGGGAGGCACTAACTGGCCCCCCCTTCCCCAGGGGACCACTGCCCCTGCCAAAGGCGGCCCCAGCCTCCTCACCTGGGCTTGGTCAAGGATCAAGACCATGGGCCAGGGTGACACCAGGGAGAGGACTGGAGGCAACAGTTCAGAAAGGAGACAGAGCCAAGTATTGTGGCGTCCACTTGTAACCCTAGCACTCTCGGAGGCTGAGGCAGGAGGATTGCAAATTCAAGCCCAGTCGGCAATTTAGTTAATGAGACCGGGTCTCAAAATTCTAAATCTTTAACAAGGCTGGGACTGTAGCTCAGTGCAAAAGCCCTGGGTTCAACTCCGAGGGCTGCATTTTTTTTTTTAATTGTTGTACCAGGGATTGAATGCAAAATTCAAAATTTAAAAAATGTAAGGGAATAGAGAGATTCTAGAACAGGACAGGGCGGAAGGCTGGTCACTCTTAAAGGGCTTGCCACCCCCAGGGATTTACTGACCAGCAAGTGTCTGTGCAGCCACCTGCAGCTCAGAGTCTGCTGGCCACCAAAGTGCAAAGAACACTGGAGTGAGGGCCACACTAAGACACCCAAGTCCCAGAAGTTGGAAGCCTGGTTTCCTTGGTTATCACTGAGTCCCAGGGGCCCAACTGGGTGTGCCTGCTTCTCAGGGATTCTGAGTGTGAACCGCATCTTCCTGGGTTATTCTAGAAAAGGGCCCAGCACTATAAGGACCCACAAGGGGCCTCATTTACACCAGCTGCAGTTGTGTGGAGCAGTTTGAAAGCCAAGGAGCAAAAGGGGTCATTGTGCCCTGGCTGGCTGGCAGGAGCTGATCTTGCCACCCCAGGTCAAGGAGGGTGGGACAGATTTACTCAGGTGGAGCCTGGTGGAGCGGATCGAGGTAGGAGCAAAGGTAAAGAGAGCGAGGCAGGGGCCGGTTCCCGGAACCACAGCTGGGCTCTGGTGCTCACACAGTGGGAAGAGGCTGGCGCCTCACAGTCAGGGTTGGGGCACTGAGCCCGCTGGAGGCCTCGTGGGTGCACAAGCGCTCTGAGGCCTGGGGAGCTTGCTGGAGGAAGTCAGACCGGCCACCTGAGGAGGGGCAGTGAGAACTTGGTGCTTGCTCCTGGGCGCTACTGAAGCTCGCAGGTGTTGGAGAAGTGCCCGCCACATGCTTGGCCCTGAGCCCCAGAGGTCTGAAGGAAGGCTGCCTGTGCCTACTATGCGCCTGCACAGTGCCTCTGTCGGAGGCCTGCGCCCTGTCTGCACAGCGCAAGTCATGTCTAGGAGAGGTGTGAATGGAAGTCTGAACAGAGAAACCGGCATGCCAGAGGGTGGGGGATAAGGAGTAGGAAAGGCTGGGCTTCACAGAGCTCCCGGGAGAGCAGCAGGCAAGGATTCCCCTTCCAGCTGAACTGAAAGGGAGATTCCAGCACCCCAGCCAGGGCCGATGGCACACACTTGTGGTGTCAGCACTCAGGAGGCTGAAGCCAGCCTCGCTACATTGTGAGAGAGGGAGAGAGGGAGGGAGGAGGGAGAGAGAGAGAAAGAGAAAGACAGAGAGAGAGAGAGAGAGAGAGAGAGAGAGAGAGAGAGAGAGAGAGGCAGCCCATCCCTGGACCTGGAGGAGAGGTGAAGCCACTCCACCCCATCTCCAGTGACACTCCAATCGCTCCTCCCAAGAGAAACGCACACTGCCTACTTGTGCTCCTGCCCTATTCCAGGTACCCGCTGTGCCTAGGAGGAGAACGGAGTCCTCGTTTACCCGGACCAGACCCTGGGGGGTGGCGGCCAGAATTAATTAATGTTTGTACAGGGCTCTGAAGAACCCGGGACCAGAGACCCAGGGGCGCCTGACAAGCCGCACAGGAAATTGACGGGGAGAAGCGGTAGAGCGGGCGAGAAGAGCGTCCTCCTGGAGGGGGCGGGTCAAGGAGAAGCTCCGACCCCCCAGTCGCCAGAGAGGGAAACCCAAGAGGGATTCTAGACCCCATCTGGGCCTGGCCACCCCACAGCTCCGCCCAGAGCCGAGGGTCCTGGCTCCTGCGTAATCCCCCTCCCGGGCCTGGCGCCCACCTGCAGCGGCGTGCGGGGGTGGGGGGAAGATGCAAAATCAGGCTCTCGCCCGAAGGTGCCGGGTGGAGGCTCCGCCGGGCGCCTCCACCAAGCCCCGCGGGGCGCCGACTCGTACCTGAACAAACACTGCACTTCCTTTCTACGCTGCTTGAGGAAGCGCGTTCCCTCGCTCCCGACAGCGGACCGCCCAGCCCTCTCCTCCGCCGAGGGCCCCGGCGACAGGACGCGCGCACGCAGCCGGCAGCCGGGGCTCCTCCCGGCCGGCGTCCCGGGCGCACACTCACCCCAAAGTGCTGATGAAGCCGTTGACCGAGCCTTCGGCGTACAGAGAGACGATGTCCCCGATGTGCAGGAAGCTGGACATCTCGTTCATGGCTGCGGCCCTCGGGGCAGGCGCGCGGGACGGCGGCGTCTGGGCCGGGGAGCAGGCGCCCCGCTGCAGGACCGGACCCTTGCGTGGCCGGGGCGGACTGGCAGCCGCCCGTGGGGCGACGGCGCGGCACGGCCGGTCCGGGACAGGAGGTACCCGTGTCTCTCCGCCTGCCGCCTGCCCGCCGGCCCGGCCCGCGCGTACCTGCAGCGCAGAGCGAGCAGGAAGTCGGGGCCCGCCGCACACTCATGCAAATCCCGCCCGGGAGGCGGGGACGCCACGCCCGGCCCCCCCGCCGGCACCCACGTGCACCGACCAGGCTCCCCCCCACGACGATCGCGCCCGGCCAGCGGCCAGGGGAAGCGCGGCCAGACCCAGGTCCGGGGCTTTGCGCCCCGGGAGCGCCCTAGCTGCCCACGTGCCCGGCGCGGTAGCCGGCGTCAGGGAGAGTCCAGGGCCGCCGCTGGCGCGACCCGGAGCGCTGTCCCCGCGCCCAGACGAGAGCGCTCTGCCTTGGGACGCGATCACCCCTCCGCAGCGCGAGTCGGGGCTCATTTTTCCCCACGTGAAATCTTTCCTTTGTACCATAGAAAGCGCTCGGGCTTGGAGGGGAAATGAAGCAATGGGGTGGGTTTTGTTTTTCTCTCCGCATTCCTGTGTACAAAGAGATCCAACTTCCGAATCAGTTCGGCCACTCCCTCTCCAGGAGTTGGCTCCAAATTCTTGGCTCCTTCTGTCTTTCCCTTAAAGAAAAAAATAAAAAAAGTGCGGGGCAGAAAAATCACCTTGGTTAGGTCACAGCGCACTCAAGCGCGGGGACAGGTCCCCGGTGGCCACCAGCTCGCCTAGGCTGGCTCACAAGCGCGCGCTCTCGCCCGCGGCCCGGCTTGCCTACTTTCAGTTCTGCTCGCGGGTGCTGGGTGTTTGTTTCCTAGTGTTCTTTGGGACCCGTGGGACAGTGCCACCGCCACCCAATTCGACATTTACTCCCTTGGAGTACCCCTCACTTTTGGAGGGTGGGGAGAGTCCTTACTAGGAGAAAGGGAGAAGGGAACCCGGGTCAGAAGCAGGAAGAAGGGAGAGGTGGGACGGCTGGGGGTGTGGCTCTCTTCACAGCCCCTCCACGTGGGCAGGGAGGCCGCCCCAGACTGGGGTTGTAGTTTCTCCCCCAGGCCGCCCAGAGACAAATAAGTTTCACATCCACCCAGCCCACACCTCCTCTCTCTCTCTCTCTCTCTCTCTCTCTCTCTCTCTCTCTCTCTCTCTCCTCTCTCTCTCCTCTCTGCCAAACAATGGCTTCACCAAACAATGCTTAGTCCATGAGCTGTGACGCACTCCTGCTCTCTACGCCTTTCAATTGTGGTGTTTGAATGTTGGTTGGAACCCACTAAATTGCTTGCTTTAAAAAATGTATCAAGATGAGTTGTAAACTGCAATTTGGAAAAGCTTATCCAGTCTACTCTGCCAAAAAGAGGTGACGGAGCTGGGAGAAAGAGGCCAAGAACACTGAGGTCACACAGCAGGCCCTGGCGGCCGGACCTGGCCGGCACCTCCACCCCAGCCTCACCGGAAGGCCCAGCCAGGCTGTCCAGGCCTCCCCTTGTCGCCTGCGGCATGCCCGGTCCCCAGTCCCCGGAGCGCATGGGCTGGCCTACTATGTGTCTGGCCTCTGTGGGCCACGGGCTCTGCAGGAGCCTCCCAGCCTGGGCCTTGCTTGGAGGGTGACCACAAATGAGCCAGAGGCTCCACCTGCTTGTGCTGGAAACCTTGGCCTCCCTGCCCAGCCGTGCCTGGGGGCCCTTGTCCTGCTGCCCCTGAGATTCAGATACATGGGGCTCAGCCAGTCCCACACCCAGGGAGTAGAGGTCAGTGTACTTGGGGCCCAGGTGTGCACCCCCAACCTGGTGCCCCTCATCCTGTGTCCAGGCTGGAGGTGGGGAAACACAGGCCCTGAGAAGTCCTGGGAGAAAGCTGCCGCCACCTCCTGCCACACACACTGCTACAAGGATGGAATCCAGGCTTTGAGCACCTGTTTCTTCCAAGCCCACCCCACAGAGCTCTTTTCCACACCCAGGCTGGGCGGTAGTGTTTAAGAAAAGGTAGGTGTGGTTCTGCACACCTGTGATCCCAGTACTTGGAAGGCTGAGGCAGGAGGGTGGCCTGCTGGAGCCCAGCCCAGACAGCTTAATGATGTATCAAGATCTCAAAATGAAAAATAAACTGAGGAGATAGTTCAGCAGCTTATGCACCTGCCTAGCAAGCATAAGGTCCTGAGTTTGACCCCTGGTACCAAAAAAGGAAACAAAGAGAAAGCAGGGCTGCAGATGTTCCTGAGCACAAAGGCCCTAGGTTCAATCCCAGCAACACCAAAAATAATAAGAAAAATAAACTACGAAGTAAACTAGCCAGGCATGGTGGTACATGCCTGCAATCCCAGCACTGGGAAGCTGAGGCAGGAGGATCATTGCAAGACCAGCCTGGACTACCAAGCGAGCTCAAGAACAGCCTGAGCTGCATAGCAACACCCTGTTTCAAAAAGACAGACCAAAAAAAAAAAAAAGTCAAGTTTTCTTCTCTATGGCCAGCCAAATAGCTCAGCCGATTAAAACACCTGCAAGCAGGCGCAGGGTCAGGGGTTCGATCCCAGGCCTGCGTACCAGGCCTGCCCCTGGGGCAAAATGAGATGGGTGGGGCTGGGGAGATGTCCCAGTGGAATAAGCCCTTCCCTGGCAAGCACAAGGGACTGAGTTCAATCCCTGGTTCCACAAAAAAAAAAAAAAAAAAAAGGTGAGATGGGCAATTGAGACTGGATGTGGTAGTGCACACCTGTAATCCCAGCTCTTAGGAGGCTGTAAACAGGTGGATCGCTACGAGTTGGATCTAGTAGTGAGACCCCGAACACCCTGTAGACCCTTCCCTAAAATACAAAAAAAAAAAAAGTTTTCTTCCCTAAAGTACCAGAACACTGACTTTGGAGTATTACAAATACTTGATGCATAGTAAACTGCACTGGGGTACAACTTCCAGCAGGGGAGTTTAAGGTTCTGGGCTCCATCCCCAGCACTGCAGAGAGAGGAAACAAAAATATAAAGAAACCCTGGGGCTGGAGAGATGGCTCAGTGGTCTAAAGCACCTACTTGGAACAGGCTTGGCAAAGCACAGGGACCAAGGTTCGATCCCCCAGCACCACATGCCAGCCAGCCCCGCCCCCTGGTGGGCTGAGCTGGCCACACACACACACACACACACACTAAATAAAATGTTAAAAAAAAAAAAAGAAAAAAGAAACCCTAAAAAGAAAAAAAAACCCTATACCTTCCCCTTGAGTTTGTCAGGAAACTTGTGTTTTGTAAAATTTGATTCCAACGTTTTGGAAAAGCTAAACTTTCCCAATTCAATTGAAATTTCTCCTGTGCCCTTCCCAGCCCTACTCAGTGCCCTGGCCTGAGGGCACCCCGTATCCTCCCACCTTTGGCCAAGGCCCGACGGTGGGTAATGAAATCAATGGAGCAGGGAAAATCAGCAGTATTTTTGTTGTTTGAGATGATATCACTATGTGGATCAGGCTGGCCTTGAACTTATGGTCAGCCTCCTGCCTCAGCCTCCTGAGTGCTGGCATTATAGGCGTGAGCCACCATGTCCAGTTTAAAGGTCAGCATTTCTTTTGAAACTCAAAATTGATTAGAAAACATCAACATGTGTCATTTACCATCAGGGTAGCTTTTTTTTCATACTGGAAACTGAACTAAGGTCCCTGAAAATGAGCTCTACCCCAAGCCTGTTCATTTATTTATTTCCAAACAGAGCCTTGCTAAATCAACATATTGCCCCAAACCAGGCATGGTAACAAACGTTTGCAATCCCAGCACTTGGGAGGCTGAGGTAGAAGGATTGCTGCAAGTTCCAGACCAGCCTGGGCGCCAAAGCAAGCTCAAGGCCAGCCTGAACTGCATGGTGAGACCCTGTCTGAAAAAGGATAAAAAGAAATATATATATTGTATATAGGGGCCGGGGAGATGGCTCAGTAGAATAAGTGCTTCCCTGGCAAGCGCAAGGGCCTGAGTTCAATCCCTGGTTCTGCAAAATTA